CCCCCAGACAAGCTGAAACACTGTACACAACTTCCTTTCGCTCTAAGGGAGGGATCAGGAATTAAGTGACTTCCTCTATCTGTAGCATGCCTTTGTTGGGGGTGGGCAAGGGTGATTGCAAATGCCATGACATTTTTGTCTGGAATGTTTTGAGTGCTGCTATTTCTTGATTGGGCATTTGGCTGTTGCAGATCCTTTAACTGGTTTCTAGAGTTCTCATTCTTGCCTGGTGAATCCCATGGACAAAGGAGCCTGGTGGGCTACAGTCCCTGGGGTCACAAAGTGTCGGCCACGACTGAATGACTAACACACATACACACAGAGTTCTCATAAAGCTACTGAGGTCAGTGTGATGTTTACCTGATGTTTCTGTGAGGAAGTGAGCACCTGGAGCTTCCTACTCTTCTTTCTTGATCACATCAACCAATATTATCTTTTGTACCTGGTAAAATTTCTTTGTGATAATACTTGGACAGTAATGATTTCCCTTTTAATATTAATATTCCATTGTACAAATACAGAACAATTTGTTTATCCACTTTTCTAATTATGTTCTTTGTTTCTGGGTTCTTGCTTTTATGATTGATTACTCATGTACAAGCCATTGTGTAGATATAAATTTTCTTTTTGGGTAAATACATACAAGTTAGATTATGCTATGTACCATATGTATATGCTATGTAGCATACACACACACACACACACACACACACACACACACACACACATATACACATATAACTTGATAAGAGACTTCCAAAGTAGTTTCTTCTTTGAAGTGTCCTATTTTTGTGTGGTTGGCATTTTATTTTTGATTTGTAGGGGTTTTTTGCATATTCTGGGATCAGTTGTCTGTGTGCCAAGACTATCTTCAAGTCTGGCATTTCACTGTCTTAACACTGTCTTTTGGTAAGAAGTTTTAAAATTTCTGACCAAATCATTTATAACTTTTTTTTTAAAGGTACTGACCAAAGAGGTTAGTACATTTTCTCTTCTAAGACATGTTTTCCCACCTATATTCTAAGGTTGTAAAATTACTCTCTAGTTTCCTTCTAGAAACTTTGTATCTTTATCTTTCAAGTTTAGGTCTATGATCCATATCAAACTAATTTTTTGTGTGTGATGTGGGCAAGGAGATCAACTTTTTCCACATAGTTATACAATTAGCACCATTAAAAATACTTCCCTTTGTCCACTGAATTCCTTTGGTATGCTTATTAAAAATCAACTGACTATAGAGGTGTGGGCTTGTCAATCTGTTTGGGCAGAATGTCATAGACTGGGTAGTTTACAAACTACAGAAATTTATTTCTCAGAGCCTGGAGGCTGGGAAGTCCAAAAGCAAGGTGCTGGAAGATCTGGTGACTGGTGAGAGCCTACTTTCGGCTCACAGACCTGTAACCTCACATAGTGGGAGAGATAAAGAGTCTTTCTGGGGTTTCTTTTCTATAGGAACTAATGCTATTTGTGAGGGCTCTATTCTCTTTACATATCCACTTTCCAAATACCAACACATTGGTGTATTAAGTTTCCACACATGAATTCTGAGCAGACACAAATGACAGGGACAGAGTAAAGGGACAAAGTAAGTAATGAAATAGTCAATCCCACTGGAGGACTGTAAGAAAAGAAAATAGCACGGGAGACCCCTGCAAGCTAAGTTAAAAGTGAAAGTCGCTCGGTTGTGTCCCACTCTTTGCGACCCCATGGACTGCAGCCTGTCAGGCTCCTCTGTCCATGGAATTCTCCAGACAGAATAGTGGAGTGGGTAGCCATTCCCTTCTCTAGGGGATCCTCCCAACCCCGGGACCTAACCCAGGTCTCCCACACTGCGGGCAGATTCTTTATCATCTGAGCCACCAGGGAAGCCCCTCTGTAAGTTCATGATCACTCAAGAAAGCAGGTTTCCTTAACCACAAAACCAAGCAGGCTTCTTAAGCAGCAAAACCATGCAATAGAAGCATGAGACAAAAACAATAAAACAATGATGGCATGAGGCCCACATTTTGTCCTGTGAGCTCAGTAAGTTAATGATCCTTAAGACATGCTCTTTGCACACATTAAAAAAAAAGTTAAAAAAAAAAGTTATGGGAAAGTGAGATTTCAGTGAAACACCATTATTGTACTGAGACCTGAAATGATATTCCCTAGTGGCATGACAGTCCTGGCTTGACCATGTAGGGACAAGAAAACTTTCTTGCCCAACATTGCAGATGGATTTTTTACCAGCTGAGCCACAAGGGAAGCCCAAGAATACTGGAGTGGGTAGCCTATCCTTTCTCCAGGAGATCTTCCCAACCCAGGAATGGAACTGGAGTCTCCTGCATTGCTGGCAGATTCTTTACCAACTGGGTTATTAGGGAAGCCCCTGTTAATCCCAAACTCCTAATTTATCCCTGTGGGGGGTGGGGGTGGATACTCTTATTTGTTCATCTGTTTTCTAGTTCATTGACTTCTGTTCTTATCTTTATTATTTTTTTACTTATACTTTCTTTGGATTTAATTTGCTTCTGTTTTTCTAACTTTTTTGAGGTAGAAGTTTAGGTAATTGATTTTATTTTATTTTTTTTATTTTAAACTTTTCTTGTTTCTTTTCTTTTTCTTTTTCTCTTCTTGTTTCTTATTATGTGTATTTGATATATTAACTTTCCTTCTGAACATTCATATAGCTGCATCTCACAAATTTTTACTCTTTTCATCATTATTTAGTTCAATATATTTTCCAATTTCCATTGTGATTTCTTTTTGATCAAAAGAATATTTAGAAGTATATTATCTAGCTATGTAATATTTGGGCATTTAAAAAGTTATCTTGGACTTCTCTGGTGGTACAGTGGATAAGAATCCACCTGGCAATGCAGGGGACATGAGTTTGATCCCTGACCCATGAAGACTCCACATGCCCCAGAGTAATAAAGCCCATGCCTCACAACTACTGAGCCTACTCTAGGGCCAAGCTGCAAATACTGAGCTTGTGTGCCACAACTAAAGCCAAGTGCCTAGAGCTCACGCTCCGCAACAGAAGCCACTGCAACGAGAAGCCCATGAACTGCAAGGAAGGCACAGCACAGCTGAAAACTAAAATTTAAAAAAAAAAAAGTATTTTAAAAGTCTCATTTTTATTGCATTTTCATTCAATTTCATGATGGTCAGAGAAATTTCTGTATGATATCAACACTTTGACATCTACTGAGACTTGTTTTACTTCCTAACATATACTTTGTGCATGATATTTGAAAATTTTAATTCTTCTCAGTAATACCGTGAGGGTTCAGCATAAATATTTTGAACATCTCTCATCAAATACAACATATTTTGTGTTTTGTTTTGTGAAGCTTAAGGGTAAATCAGTCAACTGCTTCAAAATTTTTCTGTATCTGTACTTATTTTGGTGTCTGCCTGTCACATCAATTCCTAAGAGAGGGGTGTTAAATCTCTAATTGTGAGTATCTGTATGCCTATTTCTTCTGACTCTATCATTTTTCACAGCTTATTCTCTAAAAATTGTCATTTTTTTTTGCTGAGTTAATTGACCCATTTATCTTTACCCAATGTCCCTTTTAATTTCTGGTCATACTACTTGTCTTGAGGTCTACTTTGATATTAATATAGTCACTGACTTTTTTATGATTAGCATGGGCATGGTAGATGGTTTTCCATCTTTTAAAATTTCAACCTCTTTGTGTCCTCATATTTAAGGTATGTTTCTTTTAAACAGCGATGTATTTAGGCTCTGTTTTTATCCAATGTGACAATTTCTTTGGAGTGTTTAGTTCATTTACATTTAATGTAATTACTGATACAGTTGGATTGAAGTCTAACAGCTTGCTCTTTGTTACATATGTGCTTTTTGCTCCTTCTTTGCTTTCTTCGGATTTATATTTTAGCATTCCATTTAATTTCCTCTCTTGGATTTTTTAATTGCTTAGTTTTCATTAATTGCTCTAGGAGATTACAGTATTTTTAAATTATCACACTAGACCTTGAATATGTATTTCACCACTTCACTTACAGTATAAAACAAAAACAAAACAGCCCTTGGGAATTTAACTTTGAGACTCAGCCCTGGGCTGAAAATGTGTGGACTAGCTGAGAACCAGAAAGTCACTCAAAACCCATGTTGGAGTGAGGGACCTCCAGGAGCTTCTAGAAAAAGTGGCCTCTGAATATTTAGACAACTGGTAGATTTTGGTTTAGTCAGGATTCATTTGCTGTAACTTTGCATCATCTAGAAGACAGCCAGGAGGTAATGAAACTTCTTGTGGTTTTCAAAGGTCAATGGCCTGATACCTGCTGCTCATCTTTATAGCTCTCCCTTACGACAGGTTGGGGAGGTGGTGGTGGTGATGGGGAGCGGGGGTAGTTTAGGGAAAAGTTTCTCCCAAACATGCTCGTGACAAGCTTACCACACTTGGCCTCTCTCAAGATTGTGTTTGTGGGTAGTTCGTCAGATTTCTGCTCTCAGCCATTACCACAAATCTGCACACGCCTTTGCCCCTGGCTTAGAGCGGACACGCGATCACTTCAGAGCCCAAACCGGATCCTTTTCTCCCGGTTGGCTGGGTGCTGGCAGCGAGTCCCAGTCGCACCCCGCACCTGGCCGCTTGCAGGCTCCCGCCCGCGGAGCCCAGGTGTGCGTACCTCCTCCTCGGTTGTGGGGCGCCAGGCCACGGGGCCTGGTGTCTCCCTAAGTTCGTTCTGCGGCTCATCTCACTTGCCGCCCGTACCTCACGGAGGCCCGGGACAGGGTGCGCCCTCCGCGCTCTTTTTACGGCCCAAGCTGGGCAATTCCCACCGGGAAGCCCCCACCTCCCTCCCGCCCGCGGTCCCGAGGACCAACTGAGGTCACCTCTGCCGGCAGGTGGCCCTCGAGGTTCTCTTCCCTGGGGAGCATTTCCGACAGCCGGAGGGGCCTGGAGCCCCCGGGGTCGCGGGAGTGAGCGCAGCGCCGAAGAGCTAGCCGACTGGCCGAAGGCCGGGGCGTGGAGGGAGGAGCGCCAGGAGGAAGGGGCCGAGCCGGGAGAGCCCCCGCCCCGGGAGGAAGGGGAGGAGGCCGGGTGTTTCCTGGCGCATTCCCGGCCCGCCCGAGTGACTCACTCGGTCCGGAAACTCCCAGGGCCCGCCCGGGACCCCCGAGCAGCCGCCGCGGACCCAGGTGAGGAGCGCTGCGGCCCCCTTCCCGCCCCGCGCCCCCGCCGGGGTCGGGGCCCGCCCTCGGAGCCTGGCCGGCCAGGAGCTGGGAGGTGGCGGCGTCGGGCCGGGGCCCCTCAGGCAGCCGGGACTTGGCCATCCGCGGCGCGGCCTCCCGGGCGGCGCGGCCTCCGGGATCACTCCGGCCTGGGAGGCGCGAAGCCATTCCCCAGCTTCCCTGGCGCGCGGCGGAGTTGCAGTGGGGAGGGTCCGTTGGGATTTTGCAGTTATTGTTTGAAAGTGCGGAGCAGGCAGTTTGTGCTGAGGTCGTGCTCTGTGCCCCTGTCTGAGGGAAGGAGAGACTGACCGAGCGAGACCATTTTGCAGATTCTTGGAGAGAGGAGTTTGGGGCTTTGTTAAGGAGCCGGGATTGTTACGTGGGCAGCGCGGTTCAACACAGCCAGATTGAGTTGTATATTTTAAGCCTCAAATGCGTGCTCCTAATTCGCAGCGCTTGGTGGGTGGGAGAAAAGGGTGGAAGAATAATTTGGAAATGGGGTTTAAGAAGCGCTTTCTAAGCCGAGAGAGGCGTCCGGAGCACGTCCACCCTAGCGCTATGTCTGAACGGCCGGATAGCGATTTGCTTATGAAGCCGGGTGTTGGACGGTCTCCGTTTCTGTGGGGAGTCTGAGACTCGGGAGTTTCCTTCACCAGGAGTAGAGAGAGGGTGCTGTGCGCCGCGCCGCTCGGGGTCTTGTCAGAGCTTGGTGAGTTGGGGGGTATTTCTTGGCCATTGGCAACGTGATTCCGTTGATGACCCGTGATTGAAGCAGCAGCGTTCTCGGAGTTGCTCTGCCTGACAATTCCCCAGCGGCTCCAGCGGCTCCGGGCTCGCGCTTGAAAATCCTGCTCGGCCGCGCCGCGGGCCTGTGAAGCTGCGCGCCGGTGCCCGCCGTCCCTTCTTCCTGAAGGCCTTCAGTGGTTATTCGGGCAAAGCGCAGATCTACCCGTACTGAGCCTGAAGAAAGGAATCAAGTTCTAAATGAATGTGGGCCACGGCAAGTTTGCATTTGTGGGAACTCACTTAGGAAGATGGTGCCAAACACAGTCTTCACGCAGCGGCATCTCTGTGCCAGAGGTGAACAGGGAAATGTGGAAAACATTTCCGGTATGAAAACAACGTTTGTATGCGCCTTCGGCCCTCAAAGAAAAGTTACTCGCCAAGTGCTTTTGTGTGTTTATTTAAATTAATTGTAAGTTAACATATAGTAATATTGATTTTGTGATAAACAGTCTGAATTTTAACAAATGCTTAGTGTCTGGTGACTTAACAACCACAGTCAAGATACAGAGCAGTTTTATCACCCCCAAAACCCCTTTCTGTCCTTTTGTAGGCAACTCCGTTTTCCACTTCTGACCCTTGATCTGCTCTCCATTCCTACAGTTTTGCTTTTTACGGAATGTCTTACGTAGTTTTTGAGTGTGGTTATTTCACTCAGCATAACGCATTTGCGATTCATCCATACTCTAGTTTGTCCCTGAGGGGTAAAGACATTAAATAAGTTTGAAACTTGTGCCTCTAGGATATAACCTGAGCTAGTCAAATAACACTTTTAATTCATGAGAAGAATTACAACACTTAAGCTTATTAAAAATTCAAACAGTACTCCACTACATATACTAAATGTGAAATTCTCTCAGTAAGTCTCTCTTGGTATGTAGCCTTTTCTGTGCATAGGTTTTATTTTTGTGTGTGTTCTTTTAATGACAGCGAGATTACATTGCATGTATTGTACCTTTTCACTTAATGTTCTTGGATTATTTAAAGATCTTGGAAATATTAACATGTTGGCATATATATTATATATACACACAGATATTCTTCATTCCTTTTAATGACTGTAGTATAGTGCTTTATGGTTAGATGTATGATAATTTATTTAATCGGCACCTAGTTAACTGACATTAGTTTGCATTTGTCACCACTGTATTCGGGGAAAGATTGAAGGCAGGAGAAGGGGATGACAGAGGATGAGATGGTTGGATGGCATCACTGACTCGATGGACATAATGAGTTTGAGCAAGCTCCGGGAATTGGTGATGGACAGGGAAGCCTGGAGTGCTGCAGTCCATGGGGTCGCAAAGAGTCAGGCACAACTGAACAACTGAACTGAACTACCATATTCAGTGCTTGTGTCTATATCTTTATGTATATACTTAGATTTATCATTCTGGAAGTGAATGAGGGTTTAAATAAAAGCTAATGTATCTTTTAAGTTGGTTTAAAACTCAGCATTCAAAAAACTAAGATCATGGCATCTGGTCCCATCACTTCATGGCTAATAGATGGAGGGAAAAATTGGAAACAGTGGCAGATTTTCTTTTCTTGGGCTCCAAAATCACTTAAGATAGTGACTGCAGCCATGAAATTAAAAGACGCTTGCACCTTGGAAGAAAAGCTATGACAAACCTAGACAGAGTATTAAAAAAAAAAAAAAAGCAGAGACATCACTTTGCTGTCAAAGGCAAAGCTGTGGTTTTTCCAGTAGTCATGTACAGATGTGAGAACTGGACCATAAAGAAGGCTGAGCACTGAAGAACTGATGCTTTTGAAATGTGCTGGAGAAGACTCTTGAGTGTCCCATGAACAGCAAGGAGATCAGACCAGTCAGTCCTAAAGTATTCAGTCCTGAATACTCATTGGAAGGACTGATGCTGAAATTGAAGCCCCAGTACTTTGGCCGCCTGATGTGAAGAGCCTACTGATTGGAAAAGACTGATCCTGGGAAAGATTGAGGGCAGGAGGAGAAGAAGGCAACAGAGGATGAGATGGTTGGATGGTATCACTGACTCAGTGGACATGAGTTTGAGAAAACTCTGGGAGATAGTGAAGGACAGAGCAGCCTGGCATTCTTCAGTCCATGGGATCACAAAGAGTTGAACACGATTTAGCGACTGAACAATAGCAACATTTCTTGAGTACTTTGCTTCAGTGTTGTTTTGTGTGTGTGCATGTTAAGGTACTTCAGTCATGTCTGACTCTTTGCAACCCATGGACTGTAGCCTGCCAGGCTCCTCTGTCCATTGAATTGTCCAGGTAAGAATACTGGAGTGGGTTGCCATGCCCTGCTTCAGGGGATCTTACCAACCCAGGGATGGAACCCGTGTCTTTTATGTCTCTTGCATTGGCAGGCGCGTTCTTTACCTCTAGCGCCATCTGGGAAGCCCCAGCATTGTTGTAGGCCAGGATTACTTTTCCTGTAAAGGTCCAAATAGTGATTATGTACAGCTTTGCAGGCCATATGGTTTCTGTCACAACCTCCCCAGTTTCACTACTGTAGCGTGAAGTCAGCATAGACAATTTGTAATGGATGAGTGTGGCTGTATTCCAGTAAAACTTTACTTGTGGAACAAACCGTAGGCTGTAGTTTGCTACCTCTTGAGTACTTTACATACTAACTAGTCTCACAACCCACAAAGATAGGTGCAATTATTATTCTCACTTTATGGATGAGGAAAATGACAAAGAGGTGAAGTGTGTGCCTGTTAAACGTCTGGGGACTTTGCTGGTGGTCCAGTGGCTCCTCGCTCCCAGTGCAGGGGGTCCAGGGTTCGATCCCTGGTCAGGAAACTAGATCCTATATACTTCAACTAAGAGTTCACGTGCCACAACTATTAATAAGACCCAACGCAGCCAAATAAATAATTTTTTTTTAAAGTTAGCATGCCTGATAAGAGCCAGACTTTGAATCCAGCCTTCTGACTAGTAAGTTAAAAACTAGAAAGAAGCTGCCAGAGATGCTTTCTTCAAAATATTAGACCTTGGGACCTGAGCCTCATACACTTACTGAATCACTCACCTGTGATTTTTGAAGGCACTGTGCTTGCTCGGGTGCCACTCCAGGATCACTGCCTCTGCTCCTCAGTTGGGCCAGTGTCCCTTCAGCGCCTCAGTGTGTGACAGTCTTGTGTCTTGGCTTTTGATCTGAGTTTTAATAGTACTAGTTTATAGAGGGGTCAGCTCAGTCAGCACCTGGGACTTTGGCAAGTGAGAGCAAGTTGGGTCCTGGCAAAGCTACTATATATGTCTGCTATAATATGATCACCTGAGCCCTGATAGGTATGTTAGTTGGACTACCGTTGACCATTTTTCTTCTTTGGTAACATGGAAAAAGCACCTATTAGATTCTTAAGAAGATCAAAGGAGATAGTATACATAGGAATGTATTGTTAATATTCATGCTTTGGCTTCTAAAGCTTTTATATATCTTGTCCTAGCTATTCATCATTTTTGCAACCGAAGAAGTAGAGCATGGATTAATAACATATATATAATAATTAAAAAATTATTTTAGCCAGGGCAATAAGGTCAGAAAAATAAATAAAAGGTAGATTGCAAAGAGAAAATTGTCCCTTTTTGCAGATGGTATTATCAACATAGAAAATCCAAGGAATCTATGAAAAAACTATCAGAATTAGTATGTGAAGTTAATAAGGTCACAAAATACAGTCAACGCATGTAAATCAGTCTTATTTCTATATACCAACAATGTGCACTTAGAAAGTAAAATGTTTAAAAATAACTATTTTCAGCAGCTTCAAAAAATCAGATACTTAGATATAAATTTAATAAAACACATACAGCATCAATAAGCTGAAAACTGCAAAATGCTAATGAATGAAACAAAGCTCATGTAAATAAATGAAGAGGCATGTATGGGCATGAGTTGAAATACTCAACATAGTAAAGATGTCACTTCCCTCCAAGTTGATTTATAGGCTTAACACAATTCCAGGAAAATATTGCAGCAAAAAAAATCTTAACTTTATATTGAGGTACAGTGTACATACCATAAAATTACCTCCTTTAAGTGTACAGTGATTTTTAGTAGATTTATGGAGTTGGACAGCACCATCATAACATACATATCACCCCAAAAAGATCACTCATGACCTTTTACAGTTAATCTCCATTCCTAGCCCCTATTCCTGCTAATCACTAATTTGCTTTCTTTTATAGATCGA